TTGTAAAAATGTTATAACCCAAATTTACATATACACATATACAAACATATATATATATATATATATATATATATATATATATATATATATATATATATATATATATATATATATATATATATATATATATATATATATATATATATATATATAAATATATATATATATATATTAAAATGTCCCCGATAATGCTAATGTCCCCGTTTGTGTTTGTTTTTTGTAAAATCTCTCCCCGTAAATAAAACACTATACAAATATATATATATATATATATATATATATATATATATATATATATATATATATATATATATATATATATATATATATATATATATATATATATATACATATATGCATACATACATACTTATTCACACGCATGTATATATACTTATATATATATATATATATATATATATATATATATATATATATATATATATATATATATATATATATATATATATATATATATATATATATATATATATATATATATATATCCATGTATATGAATGTATATATAGTAGTAGTAGTAGTAGTAGTAGTAGTAGTAGTAGTAGTAGTAGTAGTAGTAGTAGCAGTAGTAGTAGTAGTAGTAGTAGTAGTAGTAGTAGTAGTAGTAGTAGTAGTAGAATGTATTATATTACTACTACTACTACTGCTACTACTACTACTACTACTACTACTACTAATTTTTTAAGTTTCTTTTTATAAAAAACTTAGTAAAATGAACAACAATTGATTAAAAATAATTTTTATCTTTACAGTTTAAATTTAAACAGTTAATTTAAAACTTATAATTGGAGTAATATTACTCTGACTAACTAAAAGTCTACATATAAAAAAATTGTGTAAAAACTTATGACGTTCTCTAAGTTAATTGATTAAAATCAGTAAATGAAGTATTATTTTTAAGGTTTATGGTTGTTCCTAAGTATTTTGAAATTGCACTTTAACTATTTCTACAGCCCTTTGATTTTAATACTGATTAAGTAAGGAAAACTTTGAAGTTCTAATCAACGAAACTTTGAACTATTTTGTTATATGATTGCAATATCATGCTTGCAGAAATTTATGACATAAGTTTATATTATTATTGTGAATTTTAAATCCCATCTAGTTAAACACAAAAAACCGTATAACCTATAGCAATATAGTTTTCCCAACACAACCAATATTGTGTGAACACAAAATTAGATCACCGAAAAAAATGATGCAAAAAACTTTAAATCAATGTCGCACATGCATTTTATGAGGAGTAACTTTCAAATTGTGTCAAAACGTAGTAAATAATGTGTTTTACTAAAAAAATGCAAAATATAGTCGTAAATTATTCTATTTCAAAAATCAATGCAAATGTTCCACTTAAGGCGCTGTTCCAATTATGGCAACTCTCCCTTATAAATGTTACGGTAATAAAATAAAAATTTCAATATAATATTGCAATCACATTTTTCATTTGAAAAACAAATTTTTGACCAAAAAGATGATGTTGCTTTGGGCTTCCCACTAGCTTCTGTTCGTGTTAAATTATTAATGGGTCATTTTGAAGAAAATTGGCTAAGGCCATTCAATGGAGTCAAGTCAGTATTTTACAAACGCTTTGTTAATGACATTTTTGCGGCATTTCTATCAGAAAATAATGGATGCCATTTTCTTGACTATATCAATAAAAGACATAGTTCATATCTTTTACTATAAATAAGGAAAAGGAATCTAAAATTTCTTTCTCGGACATTAATATAAACAAAGTAAATAGTTCCTTATGTACCTCCATTTTTTATGTACTTTCATTTTTCATAAGGAGACACAATTATTCTTCATACTTTTCTTTTGTAGTTTTACCTCTTTTTCAAACAATTTAATTAAATGCTTAATTGATAGAAACTTTAAAATTGATAATACTAAGATTGGTTTTTATTATGAAATTAAAAAATGGTTTTAACAATCTAAAAAGCATGTATCCAACTTCGATTATTAATAAAGTTTGTAATTCTTATTTTGCCAAATAAACTATTTCTACTAATCAATACAAATCCGGAAACCGAGAAGTCATGAAAACTACTTTACACTTCCCTATGCTTGTAATACATATATATATATATATATATATATATATATATATATATATATATATATATATATATATATATATATATATATATATATATATATATATATATATATATATATATATATATATATATATATATATATATATATATATATATATATATATATAAGTTTTAAACAAAATTAACAAAGCAATTTATCGTTTTGAAAGACATTCGCTTACTTTTTAATTTACCGTTATCATCTCGTTATAACGATAAATAAAAAAATCTAATCTCGCTTTGATTCGAGACGAAACAAGTCTTAATCCAAAAACATCTAATTCTTTTGCAGTACCAAGTTTAATGAAAATTAACTTTTTTTTTTTAAATTACAGCATTTTTTTCTTTTCTTCATTTCATTTCATTCATTTTTTTAGGTAATGAATATTAGGTAACTCAGAAATCGTTGTTTATCTATAAAGTTTTTTATCTTTAAGTAAGTTTTTTAAAAATGGCTTCTCGAATAAGAATTTGTATTCGTATTGATATAGTTTTGAATCTAATATTTATTTGTTTTTATAATATGTAATTATATGTTTATATGACTATAACTTCACATTATAATGTAATGTAATGGTTGTTACGCAAACAATAATTTCTAAAAATCGTTCAGAATAATGATTAGCAATTGCGGATAAGTAATTCTCTTCCCTTAGAATTTCCTTAGGAGAGTTACACGGAAAATGATTGCTAAGAGACTAATTCCACACGAAAAATTCTTCCCTAAAAGACGATCTATCACATTATAAACAACTTTACTTCCTAGCATTACTACTTATTCTGAATACTGAACTTGTGCAATTTAGATCAAAGGAAACATATTACTTTATATCTTGTAATTTCGTAGGCTCAGCAAGCTTCTAAAAAGTACCGCTAATCATTGTTTGTAATCTACACTTAAATGTGCAGCATGTTAATTATGACATTTATTATAAAACTTATATTATGTATATAGTATATTGTGTATGTATTTACGTGTAATTTATAACTTATATAATACATGTTCATACATTTATATATTTAAATGTCATGTACTAGAATACATATACTAAAATGTCTCAATCTATATTATCACATGTATTCAATTTGGATGTACATACAAATGTTTATTCATATACATATACTTATACTATACGTATGATATATATTAAAACATTTAAGTACATTTATGTATTCAAGTAAATGACATTTAAGTATACAAGTGTATGAACATGTTTTGTATAAATTATAAATTACACGTGTATACATATGTATACATTTAAATTACACGTTTATATATTTGTATTACAATTGTATATGAAAATACATATAAGTATATGCATACATTAAGAAAACTGTAGGTTTTTTTTAGTAATACCTACATGTAG